ACTATGAATTATATAGTTGCAGGTGTGAAATTCCCCCCCCCCTCCTCCCGAGTCAAATATTGGGGATGTCAGTTGGCAAAATTTGCATACATTTTGTGGTTAATATGTAAGCTTACTGAGGATCTTAGTGGATCTGCAGTATTGTTGTGCATTTTTCAGGATGTGTTTTGTGGGTCAGTTTGGATATTTTGTAATCCTTTCAATAATTGAATGGAATAAAAGTTTCAGGAGTTGGCTGGATTGTTAGAAGAAAAGTTTAAATTTGAGTGATAGAATCATTAGTTTTAATCAATTTAATGAAACGTGTTAGTGGCAGCAAAGAGAAAAGGTATAAAACAGGAAGACTCGTAACTAGTTTCATCAATTCATATTGGGTAGTCCAATGGTAATATTGGGTAGTCCAATGGTAATATTGGGTAGTCCAATGGTAATATTGGGTAGGCCAATGGTAATATTGGGTAGGCCAATGGTAATATTGGGTAGGCCAATGGTAGTACATGTATTGAGTAGTGCAATGGTAATATTGGGTAGTGCAATGGTAATATTGGGTAGTGCAATGGTAAAATTGGGTAATCCAATGGTAATATTGGGTAGGCCAATGGTAATATTGGGTAGTCCAATGGTAATATTGGGTAGTCCAATGGTTTATTGGGTAGTCCAATGGTTTATTGGGTAGTCCAATGGTTTATTGGGTAGTCCAATGGTTTATTGGGTAGTCCAATGGTAATATTGGGTAGGCCAATGGTAATATTGGGTAGGCCAATGGTAGTACATGTATTGAGTAGTGCAATGGTAATATTGGGTAGTGCAATGGTAATATTGGGTAGTGCAATGGTAATATTGGGTAATCCAATGGTAATATTGGGTAGTCCAATGCTAATATTGGGTAGTGCAATGGTAATATTGGGTAGTGCAATGGTTTATTGGGTAGTCCAATGGTAATATTTGGTAGTCCAATGGTAATATTGGGTAGGCCAATGGTAGTACATGTATTGAGTAGTGCAATGGTAATATTGGGTAGTGCAATGGTAATATTGGGTAGTGCAATGGTAATATTGGGTAATCCAATGGTAATATTGGGTAGTCCAATGCTAATATTGGGTAGTGCAATGGTAATATTGGGTAGTGCAATGGTTTATTGGGTAGTCCAATGGTAATATTGAGTAGTCCAATGGTAATATTGGGTAGTCCAATGGTAATATTGGGTAGTCCAATGGTAATATTGAGTAGTCCAATGGTAATATTGGGTAGTCCAATGGTAATATTGGGTAGTCCAATGGTAATATTGGGTAGTCCAATGGTAATATTGAGTAGTCCAATGGTAATATTGGGTAGTCCAATGGTAATATTGGGTAGTCCAATGGTAATATTGGGTAGTCCAATTTTTAGTAGTCTATTTGAGCTTCTAATTTTGAAAATGGTAGCCCCAGGACAAGATTCTGTAGTCTGTGCGCTTTGGGCTATATGTTCTGTTAATTTCAGTCCATGTCTGATCAGGTTTAGAATTATTAGAGAAAAAATAAAACTGTTTTAACAATCGGGTGGTTTAAATAAATAATAGAGTGGTCCATCAAATTTAAGGACTATAGTACTCCTTAAGTCAGTTAATGAGGTATTAGTTAGTACTCCTTAAGTCAATTAATGAGGTATTAGTTGCAGCACTGTGCCAGTTCGCTGTCACATTGCTTGCTGGTGTCATATTATTACGCTAGAAAGGCCAACAAGCAAGCTGTGACCCATATTATAGGTGTATTAATCCACAACAGTCGGTACTAACAATGGTACCAGGAAATTAGAAAGAAAGTGTCAATATAAATTCCACTCTTCTGAGTATGTATTGTCTCACTGAATTATGGAATAGGCTATCATAATTGTGAAATGTCACTCGCAAATTATCACGTTATATTAACTTTTTTTAAAAGTGAAGGAGAAAAAAATGTAAATATGAAGCGATCTGCTTGAACATTTAATGGCTTCTGTATCCTGACCAGTCTAAGTCTACTCAGTTAAGATGCAAATTTTCTCACTCAGTTGTCCTGAATGATTTTCTTAGTCCTATATTTCAGTTATACTTAAAAATATTTGAATTAGTCTTGAGCTACATTTTAACCAAAATCATTTTCAATGGCCATACCAAGCCTCATTTTTTTTTTAGTTTTCCTGTTACTTTTATTCTGATCCATATGTTTGTGAGACATTTTGACAATATGGCAGTTATTGTGGTCAAACATTTATAGCGAGACAACAACAATTTTTTAATATGCCTGAAAATCAGCTTTGACATATAACTATGAAGCATGTCTACATGATGAAGATTTTTAGACATTATGTTTTTATACTAATTGTAAAGGTACCTCAATTACATAAAAACACAGTCTTTCTATGGGCCGGTCCAGAAAACAGCAATTATTGCAACAGTTGCACCTTAGACTTGCATGGTGAACTAAATTTGCTCTTTTTTTACCTTGCCCGTACCATCAAAGATGGAAGGGAAAGGTACATTAAGGGAAAGATTTTGTCTGTCGTTGTTGTCGTCGTTAATAATTGTTATTGTGTGCATAATAACTTTACTAATTCTATTCCAAACTTCATCAAACTTGGTCACCTTATTCATCAGTATAATGTCTTCCCTGAGTTTGAACAACAGATGTCCTGTATGAAAATATCGTGCAAAAATTGAGAAAATCTGATAAAATATTTTGACTGTTTCTACTTGACTGATCACTGGTGATACACATCAAAGGTCACTGATCTCAGTGGAAATATGCATTGTTGTATGTGTTCAATGAAGCAAATGATTTATCTTGTAATATTATCCTTGGTAATGTATACCAGAATCCCATACTGGGTTTCAAAACCAATTCATGGAGAGATTGCACAGTCTGATACACATTTGCAAACCTACCAATAAAATCTTTACAGAAAACAAGATGTCAGAAAATCAATATAAGCACTGCTATGAACTGGGTGTCAAACTTTGATCAGATCTGAAGCTAATAGAAATCTGGAATTGTATTATATAACAAAGGGCAAGG